GCAACTAAGTTCTTACGATGACTCAAAGACTTGAACTTGCTAACAGGTTTGCTTATATATTTATCACATAGATACAACAGGAAAAAATCTAGTTTCATTCCTATATTATTGTTTTCAGATATTTCTGCACTTTCTTAAAAATTTGTTTTTATTGTTGAGAGTATTACAGATGTCCCTCCATTTCTCCCCTTTTGCTCCTCCACCCATTTTTAAGTAATGATCATTGATATCATCATAGCAACCTCACATTACGTTAAGGGGCCTTAGTTTCATCTAGTTAAGTAAAGGGCTTCTGTATAATCAGAGCACAAATTATATCAATTGTAACAATCTAATTTGAAGATTCATCCTGTCACTATGAATAGTGAGGAAAGAGATGACTGAGCAATACAATGATACTTGTATATCAAGTGTTACATAACCAGAGATTAGAGTCATGTTCCGTGATATATTTTCTTTAACCTCCCCATTTCTTCAGATATATTTACTGACCTCTACTGCATTGTGATTATATTTGGCCAACAAGGGAAAACCAGCAGCAGCTGAGATGGTGGAAGCAGGGGAATCCTAGTGTGTGTGTGTTTTCTGCTTGTTTGTTTGTTTGTGTATTTTCCTTGTTTCTATCTCCTGTTACTGTCCATGGTGCTTTAAGACTACATCCTGAGGATTTCACCTCTATTATTCCAGCATTAACTGATTCTGATAATATCATCCCTCCCCTTACCACTTCGAGTTTTGCTTCAGTAATATCTACTTAGTATTAGAAGTATCTGAAATTTTTACTTTAAACTATCCATATCAATGTGTATTGGGTTGAATATAGGACCATATTTACCTAGAACTTGAAAATGTGGCCTTATTTGGAAAAATAAAAGGCCTTTGAAGTTGCATCAAATTAAGGAAATAAGATCATCCTGACTTAAGGTGGACACTAAATCCCATGACCAGTGTCCTTATGAGACAGAAAGGCATAGAGGTTTAGAAAACAGATAGAGACACGGAGAAAACCATGTGAAGATTGAGGCAGAGATTGGAGGGATGCACCCAAGAACCATGCAGCCAAGAAGATCAGGAGCCAACAAACGCTGGAAGAAACAAGAATGATTCTTCCTTAAAGCCTTCGGAGGGAGTGAGAACCTGCCAACACTGTGATTTGGGACTCTGAATTCTAGAACTGTGAGAGACCTAATTTTGTTGTGTTAAGCCACTCAATCTGTAGTAATTTGTTACAGTAGATCAAAGAAAGTAATACACCACATAAATAGTCTTCATTAAAATAATTTTATTTGAATCATCTGGAATGATTTCTGTATCGTTTGGAAGCAATAATTTGGTGGGGTTTTTTTTCTTTTGAAAGTAAAATCAAAATAGTAATTCTTTTAATTAAAAAATATTTCATAGAAGTAAAATCAAGTGGTAGAAATAATATTTGCCCAAGAATGAGCATTACATGTGTTTGTTCAAGAATGCTTATTAAAGGTTTTTTGTTGTGCAAAAGCAAGCTGGAAGCAAAGGGAAGGCCCTCTCAGCTGGAACCCACTAACACACTGGAAAACATCTGCACCAGCAACACTGCAGAGCGTCTCAAGACAATGGATCAGATCCACTTCTCTGAGGACATCCCACGCTTTGCTGACATGTGAGAAAGAATGCACATGTGTGTAGGTCATAGCTCTATGTTTAGAAAGCAAAGAAGGATAGATGTAGGATTTTGCATGAGCTTGTCAGTAGTGGGCATGTATTCACATTGGCAATATCTGGCAGGATGAGGACGAGAAGAGAATATTGCCTTCCTCACAGTGTAGAATTTCAAACAATTTCTGATTTAATTATTATATTTTTATTTATATTTAGGACTTGTTACAAAGAAATTATAACATGTAAAACAAAAAAAACTTTATTTTTTTAACTGAGGTATAATTGATATATAACATTATATTGGTTTCTGGTGTACAAGATAATGAGTTGATGTTCATCTACTAGTATATTGTGAAGTGATCACTGCAATAAATCTACTTAACATCCATTGCCATATATAGTTATGAAACATTATTTTCTTATGATGAGGACTTTTAAGACCTACTCACCTAGCAACTTTCAAATATGCAATACAGTATTATCACCTATAGTCACCTAGGTCACATCCTCTGATTTATTGATCTTATAACTCCAAGTTTCTATCTTTGCCCACCTTCATCCATTTGGCTCAGTGGATAGAGCATCGGCTTGTGGACTGAAGGATTCCATGTTCGATTCCAGTCAAAGGCACATGCCTGGGTTGTGGGTTCAATCCTCAGTAGGGGGTGTGCAGGAGGCATCTGACCAATGATTCTCATTATTGATGTTTCTATCTCTCTCTCCCTCTCCCTGCCTCTCTGAAATCAATACAAATATATTATAAAAAGAAAAAGAAAATATTGGCTTCTTCATAGTGGCAGGATTTCCAATAATTTCTGATATTTATTATTATGTTTTTATTTATTGTTTGGATCCATTACAAAAATAATGTAATATGTAACTCAAAAGAAATAACTTTTTATTCAGTAAATAAAAACTACATAACAAATAAAAAAGCAGCTATAACTAAATATGAAATAAAGATGAATTACTTTATTTCACTCTGACTTTTGTATTGATTTTTTCATTTATTTAGAACACTGTAGAACTCTGAGAATCAAGATTCATCATACTCACCATGTAAAGATGATGGATGTAAGCTCCAAATCTGCACTCCAATCAAAGCTGAAAATTTGGATTTCTCACCTTCATTATGATACAGGAAATTGAAATGGATCTGATAATAAAACACTTTGGAGATCATAGAATCCTACATAAGTACAGCATGTTTGTGTTAATAAGTAATCAGGTAAATAACTGAAACTAATTTGGACCAAATCCCTTTTAATAAGAAAAGATATTGGTTTATCTTTATTTATATCTGTTTCTATGACTTACTATAGAAAAAATATATATGCTACATTAAAGATTAATTCTATGATTTTTTTCACTAAAACATATTTTTAGAAGTAATTTTTTCTTAAGAATAGTAGGTGTAAAATAGTATACAAACATGAGATTTCTCATTTTTTTCATCTTTTTTTTACTCTTTGTATTTTTATGTGCTTTAAAACACACTTTTTGTTTTCTTTCCAACCCACCTTATTATTTGGGGGGGAAGATGGGTTTCTGTTAACCTTAAAAATAAAGAGCCAAAGTGAGAGGTAACAAAATTTATTTGAGATTAAGGAAAATAGCTACTTGGGTAGCACTGATTAAGACAGAAACCCAAATAGTGTTTGGAGTTGTGAGATAGAGGCAAGGGTTATTTATGTAAAATGGAAGGGAAATAAATACACGAATAGAAGGAATATCTTTTGATGCTAATGAGCCAAGGAAGAAATTTCTATAGGTGCAACCAAACTGCACCTATAGAAATTCAGAGTCTGGACTTGTTACAAAGAAATTATAGAATGTAAAACATACAAAGAAAACTTTTTATTTTTCTAATTGAGGTATAATTGGTATATAACAAATTAAAGACAATCTTAGAATTAGTACTACCATGTGTGAGATAACTTCTGATTAGACCAAAGCTGAAATAGGAAGGGGGGACAGATAATGCATTCAAATCAGAGGCTAATGCATGTTTAATACAAATTAAGGGAGCCATTTTCTCAAGGCCATCAGGAAATCCTTATTCCTCAGAATGTATATCATTAGCTATTCATGGTAGTGCTACTTCTAAGATTGTCTAATTTTCAGTCTGTAGTAAGGATGTCTGCTTCCCTGTTAGCTCTGAAAATAATTGGAATACAGTGTTACTTTGGTCCAGTTCAAAGGCTATTTTGCCCAGTCAAACATTCCAAAGGTTTGAGGACTATAAGTCATGTTAGGCAATTGCTCTGGGACGGCAACACTGACTCTATGTTGAAGTAGCTCTGTCTAAATTAATTTTCATAGCTCTTTATATCTTAAAAAGAGAACTAAAAACTTTAAGACAATACTTCAATATTTGACTTTTGGGGAGTAACTGTCTAATAATTATATTTTATAATAATTTATACTACTTAATTTGTTTTTTTTATTTTTTATCTCAGATATATTATTAAAATGAGAACAGCTAATCATATCAGTTTATATGGACTAGACAACATTCCTGAAATAATATTATATATGCAATGTATTTCATAAGTTCATTATTAATTAACCACTTTTAGTTCAAAATATATTTATTGACTATTGCATGATGGTATTGGGTGAGTGAAAGATCTTGAAATATAATGCCTAGCGGTAATGTTATTTATTTGATTTTGACGGATAAATGAAACAGGAATAAAATGTCAGAGCAAAGTTCATGCAGTTAGGAAGAGCTATAGCAGTATTAGAGTTAAGGAATGACACACACTGTACTTACAAAAAGTTATATGTAAGAGTTGTATTACCAAAAAGTAAAATTCAAAATTTTATGGTGAGCACTCCATTGGGAATTATAGCAGATATAAATGTTTCTGCTGTAGATTGTAATATGTGGAATAAAAAGTGAATAAAAAGACTGAGCCCTATCCACAAACAAAAATAGAAACGCGTGCTTCTAGAACCCTTCAATTCCATTAAAATGCAAACCTACTCTATATTTTATTGTATTGCTATGTTTAGATTTAGCATATGTTCACCATTGGATTCAGTTTTTCTCTTTAATATTATGATATAAAATACTGGAATTGGAAATATATATATATATATTCTTCAATTTCTCTAGTCAATAAAAAACTCAAAAAGATGAATGATTAATTTCACTATTTTTACAGATGGAACACCACAAAATACCAACCAAAAGCAAATTTCACTTCAATGATGGAGTTTGTTCTTTGAGGATTTTATTGTATTCCCAATCACTGAATGTTTCTTTTTATGACATTTTTCTTGCTTATGTGATACTACTCTTGGGAAAAAGCACTAGTATTCTCATAACCAGAGTTGACCAGTCTTTCCAAATTCCCATGTATTTTTTCCTGAGTGATATTTTCTTCCTGGAAATCTGTTATGTCTCTGTTACTCTTTCCAGAATATTCATAAATCTTTGGACTCAGAAAAGTATCCTTTTTTTCTCTGCCCATGTCACAAAAGTATGTTTTATCTTTATGCTTAGAAACACAGAATGCTTTCTCCTAATGGTCTGTGACCGCCATGTGGCCATTTGTCACATTCTGCTCATGGTTATGTACCATGAGCCCTGTATCTGGCTGCTGATGACTGGCTGTTGGATGAGTGGAATTCCAGTCACATTAGGGCAAACATGCTATCTTTTCTCTCTGCCATTTAGTGGCTTTAACCAAACTAATCACTTCTTCTGTGACATCCTTCCAATGCTCAAGCTGGCCCGTGGGGACACTTTTCTGAATGAGATGCTGGTCTTGACAGTTGCTGTGCTGTTGATGATGATCCCCTTTTTGTTGACACTTGGTTCCTACAGTAAAATCATCTCTACCATCATGAAGTCACAAACGCTTTCTCCTCTTGCTCATTTCACAACATATGTGGCTCTATTCTGTGCATCTGAAATCATTACATATTTATAACCCAAATCCAAACACTTTTCCAGAACAGACAAATTTATCTCTCTTTTCTACATATTTTTACCCTGATGTTTAACCCCATGATATACATTCTGAGGAATAAGGATGTCATGATGGTGCTGAGAAAATGTCTCTCTTAATTTTTAGTATTAAACACACATGAACCACTGATTTGAATGCATTATCTGTCCCCCCCCACACTCTCTTTTGGCTTTTGTCTAATCAGAAATTATCTTGTACTTTTCTGCCCTAATATGACTTGATTGTGCTTACTCATTCTTGAACTTGCCATTTGTGGCTGGACTTTTGGATATTAGAGTTATATCCCAAGTGATTGTATTTCTAATAAAAAAACTAATATCTTAGAAAATTGTATATTTAGTGGACTAGTCTCCGTCAGCACAAATTCACTGCTGATTTGAGACTGTTTACAGAAAATATATAGTATATTTTATCTAGTAATTCATGTCCCAATATGTTTCTCTAAAAACTGTAGAGTACAGTTTAGTTCTTCTCTCCATTTATTGTTATCAATTACTTTAAAAAAGATATCATCTAGTAAAGAGTACAGTGTATGGAAAGCCTTTAGAGAATATTTGTTGAATGACTGTAGGACACTTGAATATGTAAAAGTTTTCGGTGTAGAAAAGATGGTATTTTAATAAACTACATTAATTGAAATGAGCATAATGTGTAAAAAAAAAAGAACATGACCTTTACTTCACATAATTTAGGGAAAAAATCATGATAATTTATAAACCTAAATATGAAATTCAACATGACTTTTTTCAAGGGTTATGTATATGACTTTCATGGCCTTGGCTGTGAGGAAAATCATTTCAATAAGAGTAGTAGCCATGGTGAAAAACAGTGATACGTTGAACAGAATTGATGATGAAGTAACCCCTCATCCAAAGAAGCCATTCAGAGTGAACTTTTCAATGCAGAAAGCCCACGACACCACCTATGAAGAAGTACTCCAAGTTGAAAACACAGAAAACTCAGGAGGAACATTGAAATGAAACATGTTTAGGGATTTTACACAAGATTAAGGATAATCCAAATGACCAGGAAAATAAAAATAACTCATTAGTAAACAGTAAAAGTCAACTTAAAACCAAATGAGATCTATGACACACTCCTCAGAAAAAGAAAAAGTTGTAAGTGAATAAACCAAGACTAACCATACTGCAGCTGTAAAGGATATGGAGCAATGGGAACTCTCATGGCTGCAGGCAGGTGGATTGGGACAGCACTCTAGCAGACAAGCTGCTTTCATCTGGAGAAACTATTTTCAATTTTATTTTACTTTACTCTGTCTTTTAATGAAATATATTGGGGTGATATTTGTTAATAAGATTATATAGGTTTCAAGTGCACAATCTTCTGTCACCATTTATTTGACCTCCTTTACCCTTTACTTCGAACTCCCCACCTCCTTCCCTCTGGTGGCCACCATACTGTTGTCTGTGTCTATGAGGTTTTGTGTGTTTGTCTTGTTTGTTCATTTGCTGTTTTCAGTTTTACCTCGCATGTATGAGTGATATCATAAGGTTCATAACTTTTTTCTGTCTGACTTATTTCACTAAGCATGGTATTCTCAAGACCCATCCATGTTGTTGCAAATGCCACTATTTCATCTTTTTCTGATGGCTGAGTAACATTCCCCTGAGAATCTTACTCCCAGGCATGTACCAGCAGAAATACATACATATGTGTGCCAGGAACACATCTGAGAATTTTCATCTTTTCATCATTTATAATGTTAAATCCTTCTCAAATTAGTATGAAAAACTATTTTGACAGCTTCATACAGGGGAGAACCAGAAAGTGATAAAAGTTAATAAAACACAATTACATACAACATAGGTCAAGTATATTATTGAGAAAAACAAGCCATAATCTTACTGTATATTTCCTTTTAGTTAAGGTTAAAAGACAATATTTAGAATTGCCCATTACATATATTTTAGTCACTTTTCTAAATGTTATGTAACCTATATTTATAATGAACCATAATCCAATACTCTTTATTATTTTTATGCCACACTTCTATTTTTCCTGAAACTAATTCAGAAAAATGAGTTGCCTTTTACCTCAAAAAATAATTAGCAACAAAAATATATTCCAGAGTGGCAATAGTACTGATTTGTTTTGGATAAATGAATCAAGCTTATGTAAGAACTTACTGAAAACCAAGCCATATATATTTTCCAACATTTAAAACAAAGAGATAACGTCCATATTTGCTTACAATTCAGTGAGTCATAGCAAGCCAGTCTTCCTGTTGAAAGCACAAGAAAAGTTTGCATAAATTATAAAAACTCATATTTTAGAGGCATCATAGAGCTCTAGAAGAAAAAATGAATACATGACAATATCAAAATTAAGGTCATTTAAGTCAGTAAGAGATAACCCATATGATTATTTTTACTTAGTTGGTTTATAATCTTTTTCAAATACAAACTTGTTGCAATATTATATTACTGCATAACTTCATATGCATGTGTGTTTTAGTGATTAAATAAAAAAATAAACACAATTGGTCAATGGTGCCTGCTTCATTTTTTATATATAACTAGAGGCCCGGTGCACAAAAATTTGTGCACTCGGGGGCAGGGGGTCCCTCAGCCCGGCCTGTGCCCTCTCGCAGTCTGGGACCCCTTGGGAGATAACGACCTGCTGGTCTAGGCCTGCTCCAGGGTGGCAGAGGGCACGCCCAATCCCTAGGTGCAGCCCCTGGTCGGGCTCAGAGCAGGGCCGATTGGGGAGTTGGGGCGCTGCCCCCTGTCATGCACAGAGCAGGGTGGATCGGGAGGTTGCGATGCCACCCCTAGTCACGCTCAGGGTAGAGCCGATTGGGGGGTTGGGGCATCGCCCTCTGTCACACTCAAGGCAGGGTCGATGGGGAGGTTGCGGCGCCACCCCCTGTCACGCAGAGAGCAGGGCCGATCAGGGTTTGGTGCACTGCCCCCTGTCACGCACAGAGCAGGGTTGATCAGGGGGTTGGGGAGCTCCCCCCTGTCACACACAGAGCAGGGCCCATCAGGGGGTTGGGGAGCTCCCCCTGTCACGCACAGAGTAGGGCCGATAGGGGAGTTGGGGCACCGCCCCCTGTCACACACAGAGCAGGGCGGATCAGGGGGTTGGGGCGCCGCAACTGTCACACTCAGGGAAGGGCCGATGGGGAGGTTATGGCTCTACCCCATCACACACAGAGCAGGGCCCGTGGTGGGGGGGGCGGTTGGGGCACCACACCCTGTCACACACAGAGCAGGGCCAATCAGGGGGTTAGGGCGCTGCATCCTGTCACACACAGAGCCGCAGGGGATCAGGGGGTTGGGGAGCTCCCCCTATCAGGCACACACCAGGGCTGATCAGGTGGTTGGGGCGCCTTTCCCTGTCACTAACAAACTAGGGCGGATAGGGAGGTTGTGGCCCCGCCCCCTGTCACACACAGAGCCGCAGGGCAATCAGGGGGTTTGGTCGCTGCCCCCTGTCACGCTGATCCCGGTGCCAGGAGGCCTCGCGGCTCTGCTGATCCCGGTGATGGGAGGCATATTACCCTTTTACTATATAGGATAGAGGCCTGGTGCACAGGTGGGGGCCGGCTGGTTTGCCCTTAAGGGTGTCCTGGATCAGGGTGGGGGTCCCCACTGGGGTGCCTGGCCAGCCTGGATGAGAGGATGATGGCTGTTTGCAGCTGGTCACACCCCTTCAGGGTGGGGGTCCCCACTGGGGTGCCTGGCCAGTCTGGGTGAGGGGCTGAGGGCCATTTTCAAGCTGGCGGGTGACTGAAGCTCCCAACCTGTCCTTTTTTTCTTTTTTTTTTTTATTCTGGGCCAGCTTTAGCTCTGAGGCTTGGCTCCAGCTCTGAGGCCTCGGCTGCTGAAAGCAGGTATCTGGTTTGTTTGGGTTCTATAATCGAAACACTGTTTCCACTCCAGCTCTGAGATCCCAGCTGGCTGAAAGCAGGTTTCTGGGGTTTTGTTTAGCTTCTATATTTATAACAATGTTTCAAACTGCAAGCTCAGAGGCTGGCAGCAGCAGGTGGGGAACATTGGCTTCCTTCGTCACTGAAGCAAGCAAGCCTCCTGTTAGGTTCAAGCTGCCTGGCTGCCGGCCGCCATCTTGGTTGGCAGTTAATTTGCATATCGCCCTGATTAGCCAATGGGAAGGGTAGTGGAGGTACGGCTAATTACCATGTTTCTCTATTATTAGATAGGATGCTTAGGAAATATCTCAGATTTTTTAAAACTAAATCATTGTTCAGATTAAAATATAAAATTTTACAAATAACGTTGAGTGAGTATCTGTCTATATGTTTAAGGGGTTATTTTTCTATCTTTTCTGTGAAATGTTTCTTTATTTGTTTAGTTCATTTTTCTATTTATAGTTTGGACTGTTCCTCAGTATTTAAGAATAAGCCAAGAGCACTTTATTTGAGATAGCATTTGTAATTATTTTTCCATCATATGAATTCTATTTGACTTTATTTTTGGGAGTTTGTTTCTTTTTATCATGCAGAATTATTTATTATTACATAGGAAGGTTTTTTTCAACTTTTGTGTCCTTTATTCTAAATTTTGAGTTATAGTTAAATTTTCCTTACTCCAAAATTATAAAAACCTCTTTTTCTTAGAATAATTTTATCATTTCACTCTCTAAAACCTTTAAGCTTGTGTATTATTTGGAGTTTTTCTTGTTACAATATAAGGTATTAAGAAAATATAAGGTTTATTTTTTTCCCACTAAGGCGGCTAACTTGTCCCAGTAGTATTTTGTATGTCCATAATTTGCCAATTTGGTAAGCTCTCTTCATCAAGTAAATTCTCGCTTTTGAGCCATTTTCTGGAATTTATACTCTGTGGCATCAGCAGATCCTTCTATCCATGCATGATATTACTCTGTGTTCATTATCAGGCTCAGAACTCCATTTCAGCTGAGCTGCTTCTTGGCTGTGCATCTGCAGTAGCTCAGCCCTGGCTGCTCTCACCCCTTTG